GGTGGGTCGCGGGCTGGGTCGCGGGTGGGTCGCGGGCGGGCGGGTGCGTCGCGGGTGGGTCGGGCGTAGGTCGCTGTGTGGGTCGCGGGTGGGTCGCGGGCGGGTCGCGGTGTGGGTCGTGGGGTGGGTCGCGGGTTAATCACGGGCGGGTCGCTGTGTGGGTCACGGGGTGGGTCGCGGGCGGGTCGCTGGCGGGTCGCAGTGTGGGTCGCGGGCTGGGTCGCGGGGTGGGTCGCGGGGTGGGTCGCGGGTGGGCGCGGGCCGGGTCGCGGGCGAGACTACGACAACAAACAACAAATGACAAACAACAGACAACAAGCAACAATTAACACAACAACATTGAACACAGTAATACACAACATCACCAGTATTTACAATAACAACAGCAACAATTACAACAGCAATAGCCACAACCACACACAACCACAAACACAACAACAGCACAACCACCATTAGCAACAACAACACCAACACCAACAACAGCAACAACAACGACACCACCACACAATAACTAACAATCAACACCGAACAACAAGCAACACGCACCTAACAGCCAACAATCCACAACCAACAACAACAAGAACAACAACAACAACAACGACGACGACAACAACAGCAACAACAACAACAACGTCAACACCACCAACAACACCAACACTAGTCATTTTAATATTGCGCTTTTACCAGCTCGCGTGCCATTCAGCCCGTTTGTCCCAAACCCTCGGTACCCGCCTTCTTCGTCGTCCACCGTGCCTCCCTAGAGGTATAGCTTCCCTATCTGCCGCCTGCACTTGGTGCAGCCCCTGAAATGGGGGAAGAGAGGGCGGATGGAAGGGGAAGGGCGAAAGATGGAACACAGGATTCGCAGGAGGGGGGCATTGGAGCAGAAAGCACGCAGCAGAACCAGACGGGCCCCTCGGGCGGGTAGGGCCTCACGGGCAGGCAGAGCCTCGAGGCGGGCCCGAGCGGCCTTGTCGAGCCGGCGTGCTGCGGAAGCGTGAAGCTTGCACGAGTCGCGAGGAGAGCTCGAGCGATAGCGCGCTGCCCAGGTAAATCGCGAGATGGGCCAAAGCGAGAGCGCGATTCCTGAGTGTCGAGGGCGCCGCGTTTCAATACAGCGCGGGGAAGTCTCACGCGAGAGCGCGGTGCCTGCATAACCTGTGAGGAAGTCCCGCGTGAGAGGTCGATTGCGGAATACATTGCGAGGAAGTATCAGGCGGGATCCGTTGTTGTTGTAACTCGGCGGCCAGGGGCCCACCAGTTTGGTGACCTTTCGCTTTCCCTTCTGAAAAAGAAGGTTGCGAGCCCCATGAAGGGGGCAGTTCAATTGAAAAACATCATGTGCACTGGAGGGGGGTTCTCACTTCTCAAAGATATATTTGAAAAGTGAGAACATAACAACAATACCAGTGACAACAATACAACAACCATAACATCAGCAGCAACACAAGACATCAACATCCACAACAACAACAACAACAACACCAACGACACCAACAACAACACCAGCAACATCGACAATAATACCACCAACAACAACAGCATCAGCAGCAAGAACACCAACAACAACAGCAGCAACACCAACAGCAGTTTAACACTGTTCGCTCTTGCCTGCCCGCGGGCCATTCAACATTTCTATCCCGAGTCCTCGGTGCCCGCCCTCTTCGTCTTCGATCGTACCCGCTTGGGGGTATACACCTTTCTTACCTGCAACGTGTATTTCGTGCAGCCCATAAAGCAGGGGAAGAGAGGACGGATGGAAGGCAGGGACAAGGGGTTGGGATGAGGATGGAGCATGAGAGAGAGAGAGTAGCAGGAGGGGGGCTGGGAGCAACGAACACGTGGCAGAGCCAGACGGGCAGATCGGACGGGTAGACCATAACAGGCGGGTCCGGAGGTTGCTGAAGCGTGCGTCCTGCATGAATCGCGAGGAAGTCTCGAGCGACAGCGCAATTCCCGAATAGATCGTGCGGACATTTGCAGCGAGAGCGTGATTCCTGAGTGTCGAGGGCGCGGCGTCCGAATAAATTGCAAGGAGCCCCCGCGCGAAAGTGCGATGTCTGCACACATTTTGAGGAAGTCCCGCGCGAGAGCGCGATTTGGGAATCAATTGTGAGGCAGTTTCAGGCGGGAGCCGCTGTTGTTGTAAACTGGGGGCCAACAACATAATTTGGTGATACTTCACTGTCCCTTGTAAAAGAATGGTTGCGATCCCTGGGATGATCATTTGAATTAAACGAGCTCAATGTTTACCGGGGAGGGGGCATCAACCAGACAGCAACACCAACATCAACAACCACATCAACAACAACCATAACAACAACAGCAACAATAACAGCACTAACAACATGACCAATCTTTTTAAGGCTGTTCGCTGTTGTCTGCTCGCGTGCCATTCAACACGTATATCCCAAACCCTCGATACCCGCCCTCTTCGTCTTCGAGCGTATCCCCTTGGGGGTTTTACCTTTCTGACTTTCAGCATGTATTTTGTGCAGCCCCTAACATGCGGGTCGGGAAGGCGGTCCCAGGCGGCCAGGTCGAGCAGGCGGGTTGCTGAAGCGTGCGTCCTGCATGAATCGCGAGGAAGTCCCGAGCGACAGCGCGATCTCCAAATAATTCGTGTGGAAATGCACAGCGAGAGCGTGATTTCTGAGTGTCGCGGGCACGGCGTCCGAATAACTTGCAAGGAAACCCCGCGCGAAAGAGCGATGCCTGCACACATTTTGAGGAAGTCCCGCGTGAGAGCGCGATTTGGCTATCAATTGTGAGGAAGTTTCAGGCAGGAGCCGCTATTTTTGTAAACCGGGGGGCATCAACTTAGTTTGGTGACACCTCGCTTTGCCTTGTAAAAACAGGGTGCGAGCCCTTGGAGAAGCACTTGTATTGAACAAATACACCTGTGACTGGGGATGGGGATATACAGCAAGTTTTTTGTAGAAGTGAGAACTCAACAAGTACAACCACCACCAACAACACAAGTACCACCACAATAACAGCAGCAACAACAAGAACAATCCGCACCGCGGAAGCCCACCTCGGCCACGCACCCAGGGACAACCCTGACAACTGCGGGTCGACTGCAGGTTCGAAGGGAACTGTGGAACCGATGGGGGCATCCAGGGAGTCTGGAGACAGACTGGGGGTCCTGGGAGCTGTGCCTGTGTATTTGTATGCACCTGGGCCCCTCTCGGCGTGTGCCTCCTGATATGAAGGCCCTCCAGCCGTCCTGGTGCCCTCCCATCCCTTCCCCCCCCCCCCCTGGCCTTCCTCTCCTCCTCCTCCTCCTCCTCCTCCTCTTCCTCCTCCTCCCTCCTCCTCCCCCTCCTCCCCCTCCTCCCCTCCTCCTCCTCCTCCTCCTCCTCCTCCTCCTCCTCCTCCTCCTCCTCCTCCTCCTCCTCCTCCTCCCCCTCCTCCGCCGACCGCCTGCCGCATCCAGGCCGCCGCTGCTCGAGGAGCCCGTGCCTGCCCAGAGATCCCAGACCCCCCTCGGGGAACCGAGGCATCACGACGGGAGGTTTTTCGGTATCCTCGGCTTCTGGAGGCCCTTGCCGGCCCTCGGGACGATCAAAGAACGACTCGGGATGAAAAGCCGGTCCAGGGGAAGTGGTCGAGACCTCTGAGGGTCGACGTTGTGAAAAAATCATGACGTCGGGGGTCTGAGGCCATGATTTTTGTCCACGCGGCGCCCCTGGAAGTCTCGAGCCGTTCCCCAGGGAGCCGGCTTCTCATCCCGAGCCGTCTCTTAACGGTCCCAGGGCCTGGCGAGGGCCTCCAGAGGCCGAAGTCGGCGAAACAGTTCCGCCCTGATTTTTGTCAATGCGCTGGATCTCTGGGTGCGGTAGGCGACCAGGAGGGGGGGGGGCCACGAAGTGCTCGTCCGGCTCCAAGCTCCGCCAACTGTTGGCGGCCAGGAGGGGCGAGAAGAGGGGAAGGAGGAGGAGGAGGAGGAGGAGGAGGAGGAGGAGGAGGAGGAGGAGGAGAACGAGGAGGAGGAGGAGGGAGGAGGAGGAGAGGAGGAGGAGGAGAGGGAGGAGTAGAAGGGGGGGGGGTGGGGGTGGGAGGAGGAGGAGGAGGAGGAGGAGGAGAGGAGGAGGAGGAGGAGGAGGAGGAGGAGAGAGGAGGAGGAGGACGAGGAGGAGGAGGAGGGGGAAGGAGGAGGAGGAGGAGGAGGAGGAGGAGGAGAGGAGGAGGAGGAGGAGGAGGGGAAGGAGGAGGAGGAGGAGAAGGAGGAGTAGAAGGGGGGGTGGGGGGTGGGAGGAGGAGGGAGGAGGAGGAGGAGGAGGAGGAGGAGGAGGAGGAGGAAGAGGAAGAGGAGGAGGAGGAGAGGAGGAGGAGGAGGAGGAGGAGGAGGAGGAGGAGGAGGAGGAGGAGGAGGAGGAGAGGAGGAGGAGGAGGAGGAGGAGGAGGAGGAGGGAGGAGGAGGAGGAGGGGGAAGGAGGGAAGGAGGAGGAGGAGACGAGGAGGAGGAGGAGGAGGAGGAGGAGGAGGAGGAGGAGGAGGAGGAGGAGGAGGGGAGAGGAGGAAGGAGGAGGAGGAGGAGGAGAGGAGGCGTGGGAAGGACGAGGGAGGAGGAGGAGGAGACGACGAGGAGGAGAAGGAGGAGGAGGAGGAGGCGGAGGAGGAGGAGGAGGAGGAGGAGGAGGGGGAAGGAGGAGGAGGAGGAGGAGGAGGAGGAGGAGGAGGAGGCGTGAGGAGGAGAGGAGGAGGAGGAGGAGGAGGAGGAGGAGGAGGAGGAGGCGTGGGAAGGACGAGGAGGAGGAGGAGGAGGAGGAGGAGGAGGAGGAGAGGAGGAGGAGGAGGAGGAGGAGAGGAGGAGGAGGAGGAGGAGGAGGAGGAGGGAGAGGGAGGAGTAGAGGGGGGGGGGAGTGGGAGGAGGAGGAGTTGTAGGAGGAGGAGGAGGAGGAGGAGGAGGAGGAGGAGGAGGAGGAGGAGGAGGAGGAGGAGGGGGAAGGAGGAGGAGGAGGAGGAGGGGGAAGGAGGAGGATGGAGGGGCCCAGGAAGCGCCCGTCCGCCTCCGAGCTCAAGCAGGACCCCTTCTTCGCCGAGGCGCTCGGGCGGACCGTCGAGGGCCTGCTGCAGGAGCGCCCGCCCCGGGGGGCCCTCAATCGGCGGCGGCCCTCGATCGGAGCGCCCTGCTGCATCCTCTTGCCGGCGGCGAGCGAGGGGGGGAAGCGAGGAGGAGGAGGCCTTCTCAGAAGGCGGCGGGACTTCTCAGAAGCCCCTCCGGCCTTCTTCGAGGTTTTCGTTTTGTGCGTCGGGAAAGGTGCAGAAAATTCCTTGGGAGGCCAGGGGGCATCCACTTCTCACTTACCCCCCGCGCGCGCCGCCTACTCTTGACGCAGACCCCCTCGAGTCGTGAAACATCGCAACGGGAGGTTTTTGGATTTTGAGCCTCTGGAGTCCCGTCCAACAGCGACTCAGGACGATAAACCGGGGGGTCGACGTCACGAGCAAGTCACGGCGTCGGGGGTCTGCGGAGACCCCTGCGGCTTCCGCGTGGGCCTGCCCTGGGATCTCGGCGCTGGTGTGTTTTTCCACGCCGTGCGTTTTTTTTCGCCTGGCTGCGGGCCCCCAGGACCGTCAAGGATCGATGCGGCCCGCCAGAAATGCCGCAGGAAGACGTGGTCCAGGGCGCCGGAAGTCGAAGGTCGTGCAGGACGGTCGGGCGACGCGCCGGCGGGAGGAGAAAACAGCGGTCGTGATTCTTTCTCGATGTTGCAGTTTTTTTTCTGCAGCGTCAGATTTGAGGGAGCGGCATGGACATTAATTTTCGGAGGTCCAGGAGGATATCCTCGATCGGCGCTCGGGCCCCCCGGCGCTGCCCCTGGCGCGCTCGGTCCAGCGCCGATGCAAGAAATCCGCGCGGACCTGTGAAAGTTTCTGTTCATGTGGGCTTGTTCTTCCTCCAGGCTTACGCACTTCATGCTTGGTGTTATGCTTCTGCAGCTTATGGCGATGCATTTGTAAGAACGTTTGCGTTGTTCTGTGAATGCAGTTTTCCCCTTCGGCTGCCCTGCCGGACGGGCCAGGCTCCCAAGACCCCTTCGCGCCGGGACGGCAGTCGCGACGAGAGTCGTTTTTATTGCCATTTGTTTGGCCTGACTCGCCGGGCCCCGGGGCTTGCAGCAAGCTGCAGCAAGCTGCTGCATGGAGGAAAGGCCAGCGCCGGGGAAAGGGTCCATGCCTCCGGGGGGGGTCCGCGTTGCGACACAAAGCCAGACATGCTCGCGTCGTCAAAAAGTCCAGACGGGAGGTTTTTTGGGGTTTTCGGCCTCTCGGAGCCCTCATTGGGCCCCGGGACCGTGCGCAAGCGACTCAGGATGAGAAGCGGGCCTTGGGGAAAGGGTCGGGTTTCTCTTGGGACCGCGTATGGGACAAAATCAGGACGTCGCATGTCTGGGAGCACAACGTCAGAGTTCTGGGAAGTTCCCACCGCCTTCTGCCAGCATTGTCAGCCCTTCTACCCCCCGCGCTCACAACGAGCCAGCCAGGGCTCCTCGGCGCCACCGGCCTACTCGACGAGGGTATTTGGCTCAGTGCGTCGCGCTGCCAGCTCTGCGCCACGCCTCGGCGCGACGTGCTGTCCACGTCCCAGCCCCGAGGCGTCGGCGTGTCGCGCTTTTCCCAGGCTCCCGCCCCACGGTCGGAGCAGGACGCGCTGTCCGCTCGCAGGGCACAACTGGCGTGTCGCCGGGGCCGCCGCCGCGGCACGCTGTCCAAAAGTTCCTGGCCGTGGCCCCCCGAGGTCGGGGCGGATGCTGAGAGATTCTACAGGCCTCCCATGTGGGGTCCGAGCAGATGGGTTCGGAGGCATCGTCGATGCCCTGCGATGCGTCGGCGGCGGCGGCTTTGAGAAACCCGGGCTCCACATCGAGTCGCATCGCCGATGCTTCGGCGATGCGGCTCAATTCTCGGACCCCAGCTATAGGAGGCCTCCAGAAGCCGACGGAGACGGGGCCTGACCCAACCTGGCGAGGCAGGTCGGACAGCGGAGGGACCAGGGCTCTCGGGCCCAGCTCTTCGGAAGACGGCCCTGGGAAGCCGAGATCTGGGAACTGCTGCGACTGAGCACGAAGCAGCCGCTGGATGTCTTCGTGAGCTGGCAGTCCCAGAGACCCAACGTATCGAAAATGAGTAACAAGGCGCAAGTTTTTTGCTGTCGTCGGCCTCCAGGGGCCCTCGTCAGGCCCCGGGACCTTCAAAACACGATTCGGGGAAGACAAGCCTTGCGGGAAGGGTCGAGACATCTGGGGGACTCTGTATTTCAAAAAATCAAAGGAGGACCATGTTTACGCCCTATGCGAACCCCAGGCTTCTCGGGATGGGATTCGGGGGGCTATGGGTCCCTGCGCGTGCGTGCGTGCGTGCGTGCGTGCGTGCGCGCGCGCGCGTGCGTGCTGTGTTTGTGTGTGTGTGTGTGTGAGTGTGTGTGTGTGTGTGTGGGCGTGTGTGTGGGCGTCTGTGTGTGCGTGTGTGTGTGTGCGTGTGTGTGTGTGTGTGTGTGTGTGTGTGTGTGTGTGTGTGTGTGTGTGTGTGTGTGCGTGCGTGTGTGTGTGTGTGTGTGTGGGTGTGCGTGTGCGTGTGCGTGTGCGTGTGTGCGTGTGTGTGTGTGTGGGTGTGTGGGTGTGTGGGTGTGCGTGTGCGTGTGCGTGTGCGTGTGCGTGTGCGTGTGCGTGCGTGCGTGCGGTCGGACGTGCGTGCGTGCGTGCGTGTGTGTTGGAACGGAAGCCCCCCTCGGGGTCCTACAATCCGCACCCACATGTATAGCGCCTCCATCGCCTTGCCCCCTCCCCATTCCGCCTCCCTACAGGCTTGAGACCCAGACCCCCGACGTCATGATGCTCTCTTAACGTCGACCATCAAGGGTCTCGACCCATTCCCCTTCTTTCAGCCTGAGTCGTTTCTTGGCAGTCCCGAGGCCCGGCGAGGGCCCCCAGAGGCCGAAAGAATGGAAAGACCTCCCGCCAGGTCTTTCTCATAGCCCGAGGGGGCGTGGGGAGCCCGTCGTCCTCCCCTCCTGCCCGGGCGACGGTGCTCCCCGCGCGCCTCCCGGAGCCCCCCCCCCGCGCAGGAGGGCCCCTTCGAGCCCGCGCCCCTGCCGGGAGCAGCCGCGGCGGAGCCGTGACGCCCGCGATCGCTGGCGCGCGCAAGGGGGCTGTGGCGACGGGCGACGGACGACGGACGACGACGGACGACGACGACGACCAACGGCGGCGACAGACGTCGACGACAAACGACGACAAACGTCGACGACGAGGACGACAAACGGCGACGACAAGTGACGACGGACGTCGCCGACGACGGCGGACGACGCACGACAAGCGACGACGGACGACGGCGACGACGACAACGACGGTCGACGGACGACGGACGACGGACGACGACGACGACCGGCGACGGACGACGGACGACGGACGACGACGACGACGACGGACGACGGACGACGGACGACGGACGACGGACGACGGACGACGACGACGGACGACGGACGACGGACGACGGACGACGACGAACGACGACGACGACGGACGACGACGGACGACGACGGACGACGGACGACGGACGACAACGACGACGACGACGACGGACGACGGACGATGGACGACGGACGACCGACCACGGACGTCGACGACGTCGACAACTACGGACGACGCGCGACGACGACGACGACGGCGACGACGACGACGACGGACGAGGACGAGGACGAGGACGACGGACGACATACAACGGACGACGACGACGACGACGGACGACGGACGACGACGACGGACGACGACGGACGACGGACGACGGACGACGGACGATGGACGACGACGACGACGACGATGGACGACGGACGACGACGACGACGGCGACGGACGACGGACGACGGACGACGGACGACGACGATGATGACGACAAACGGCGACGACAGACGTCAACGACAAATGATGACAAACGTCGACGACGATGACGACAAACAGCGACGAAAAGTGACGACGGACGTCGCCGACGACGACGGACGACGCACGACAAACGACGACGGACGACGGCGACGACGACGACGGACGACGGACGACGGACGACGACGACGACGGACAACGGACGACGGACGACGGACGACGGACGACGAACGACGACGACGACGACGACGACGACGACGACGACGACGACGGACGACGGACGACGGACGACGGACGACGGACGACGCGGTCGACGACGACGACGACGACGACGACGACGACGACGACGACGACGACGACGGACGACGGACGACGGACGACGGACGACGACGACGACGACGGACGGACGACGGACGACGACGACGACGACCGACGACGACGACGGACGACGACCGACGACGACGACGACGACGACGACGACGACGACGACGGACGACGGACGACGGACGACGGACGACGACGTCGACGACGACGACGACGACTACGACGACGACGGACGACGGACGACGGATGATGGAAGACGACGACGACGACGACGGACGACGGACGACGACGACGGACGACGACGACGACGGAGACGACGACGACGACGACGACGGTCGGACGACGGGACGGACGACGGACGACGACGACGACGACGACGCGACGGACGACGACGACAACGACGACGACGGACGACGGACGACGGACGACGACGACAACGACAATGACGACAAACGGCGACGACAACGACAAATGACGACAAGCGTCGACGACGATGACGACAAACGGCGACGGCAAATGACTACGGGCGTCGTCGACGACGACGGACGACGCACGACAAACGACGACGGACGACGGACGACGACGACGACGGACGACGGACGACGGACGACGACGACGACGACGGACGGACGACGACGACGGACGGCGGACGACGGACGGCGGACGACGACAGACGACGGACGACGGACGACGGACGAGGTCGACGACGACGACGACGACGGACGACGGACGACGACGACGAACGACGGACGACGAACGACGGCGACGACGACGACGGACGACGACGACAACGGTCGACGGACGACGGACGACGGTCGACGACGTCGACGACGTCGACGACTACGGACGACGGACGACGACGACGACGACGACGGACGACGGACGACGGACGACGACGACGACGACGACGACGACGACAACGGACGACGGACGACGGACGACGGACGACGGACGACGGTCGACGACGGACGACGGACGACGACGACAACGACGACGACGGGCGACGGACGACGGACGACGACGACGATGACGACAAACGGACGACGACAGACGTCGACGGCAAATGACGACAAACGTCGACGACGATGACGACAAACGGCGACGACAAATGACAACGGACGTCGTCGACGACGACGGACGACGCACGACAAACGACGAGGGACGACGGCGACGACGACGACGGACGACGGCCGACGGACGACGCGGACGGACGACGGACGACGACGACGGACGACGGACGACGGACGACGGACGACGACGCACGACGCACGACGGACGACGGACGACGAACGACGACAACGACGACGACGGACGACGGACGACGACGACGACGGACGACGACGACGACGACGGACGACGGACGACAGACAACGGACGACGGACGACTACTAAGACTAACGCCGACGGGCGACGACGACGGACGACGAACGACGGACGGACGACGACGACGACTTCGACGACGGACGACGACGACGACGACGACGACGACTGACGACGGACGACGGACGACGGACGTCGACGACTACGGACCACGGACCACGGACGACGGACGACGAAGAGGACGACGACGACGACGACGGGCGACGGACGACGGACGACGAAGACGACGGACGACGGACGACAGACGACGGACGACGACGGACGACGGACGGTGGAAGACGGACGACGAAGACGACGACGACGACGACGGACGACGGACGACGACGACAACGACGGACGACGGACGCCGGAGGACGGACGACGACGACGACGACGACGGACGACGGACGACGGACGACGACGACGACGACGACGACGACGGACGACGACGACGGCGGGCGACGGACGACGTCGACGACGATGACGACGCTGACGACGACGGATGACGACGACGACGACGCACGGCGACGACAAACGACGACGGACGACGACGACGACGACGACGACGGACGATGGACAACGGACGACGGACGACGGACGACGACGACGACGACGGACGACGGACGACGGACGACGGACGACAGGCGACGACGGACGACGGACGACCGACGACGACGACGGACGACGGACGGCGCGGCGGACGACGGACGGCGGACGGACGACGGACGACGGACGACGTCGACGACGACGACGACGGACGACGGACGACGGACGACGACGTCGACGGCGTCGACGACTACGAACGACAGACGACGGACGACGACGACGACGACGACCGACGACGACGACGACGACGACGACGACGACGGACGACGACGACGACGACGAACGACGACGGACGACGGACGACGGACGACGAACGACGACGGACGACGACGACGACGACGACGACGACGACGAACGACGACGACGACGACGACGACGACGACGACGACGACGACGACGGACGACGGACGACGACGACGGACGACGACGGACGACGGACGACGGACGACGACGACGGACGACGGACGGACGACGGACGACGACGGACGACGACGACGACGAACGGACGACGGACGACGGACGACGACGACGACGACGGACGACGGACGTCGGACGACGACGGACGACGGACGACGACGACAACGGACGACGACGACGACGATGGACGACGGACGACGGACGGCGGACGACGACGACGACGACGGAAGATGGACGACCGAGACTGACGACGACGACGGCAAACGACGACGGACGACGACGACGACGACGACGACGACGGACGACGGACGACGGACGACGGACGACGCCGACGACAAACGACGACGGACGACGACGACGACGACGACGACGACGGCGACGGACGACGACGACGTCGACGACGGACGATGGCGACGATGTCGGCGACGACGACGACGACGGACGACGACGTCGACGACGACGACGACTACGACGACGACGGATGACGGATGACGGACGACAGGCGAAGACGACGTCGACGACGAAGACGGACGACGACGACGACGCCGACAGGCGACGTCGACAACGACGCCGACGGACGATGGGCGACGACGGTCGACAACGGGCGACGACGTCGACGCCGACGGACGACGATGGGCGACGACGGATGACGGACGACGGACGACGACGACAAACGACGACGGACGACGACGACAACGACGGCGACGGACGACGGACGACGTCGACGACAACAGACGACGGACGACGACGACGACGACGACGACGGATGACGACGACGACGACGACAAACGACGCCAGACGACGACGACGACGGGCGACGACGACGTCGGCGTCGATGAAGGCGACGACGACGACGGACGACGACGACGACGGACGACGACGACGACGATGACGACGACGACGACGACGACTACGTCGACGACGGACGACGGATGACGGACGTCGGACGACGACGTCGACGACGACGACGACGACGGACAACGACGACGACGACGACGGACGACGAACGACGGACGACGAACGACGGACGACGACGACGACGACAAGACCACGACGGACGACGACGACCACGGAGACGACGATGGTCGACGACGACGACGGACGACGACGACGACGATGACGACCAACGTCGTATGAAGACGACGACGGCGACGACGACGGACGACGGACGACGGATGACCACGACGGACGACGAAGACGACGACGACGACGGACGACGATGACGACAAACGACGACGACGACGACGACGACGACGACGACTACGACGACGACGAACGACGGACGACGGACGACGACGATGACAAACGACGGCGACGGACGACGACGACGGACGACGACGACGGACGACGACGACGACAACGGGCGACGACGACGGACGACGACGACGACGACGACGGACGACGGCGGTGACGACGACGACGGACGACGACTACGGCGACGACGGACGACGGACGACGGACGACGACGCCGACAAACCACGACGAGGAGGACGACGACGATGACGACGACGGCGACGATGACGGACGACGGACGACGGACGGACACGACGATAAACGACGACGGACGTCGACGACGACGACGACGACAGACGACGACGACGGTCACGACGACGCCTACGACGACGACGACGACGACGACGACGGACGACGACGACGACGACGACGGCGACTACGACGACGACGACGACAGACGACGGCGACAAATGGCGACTGACGACAACGACGACGACGACTAACCACGACGTTGACGACGACGACGACAAACGACGGACGACGGACGACGACAAACGACGACGACGACTACGACGACGACGCCGACGGACGACGACGACGGAGACGACGACGGACGACGACGACGACAACGACGACGGACGACGACGACGGATACGACGACGACGACGGACGACGACGACGGCGACGACGAAAGACGACGACAACGACGACGGAAGACGACGAAAATGACGACGCGGACGACCCAGACCTCCAAAGTTCTGTAAATGTAACACAGCCTTTTCCCGCTATTTCGGCCTCTGGGGGCGATTTTTGGGTTCAGCGACTGCCATCGGATCTGTACATGTATACAGATGCATATGTATAACGAGGCACTGATCTGTTCAAGACGTTGATTTCAGGTGCAAGAGGTCATGATGTTGACACCTTCGAAGAAACCCCGGATTTCCATTTTTTTGGCGCGGGCCGCAGAAACGAGGGCCGCCAGGTGCATTCCAGAGCCAACCGCATCATGTCGTTAATCCTCGTCCTCGTTGGAGGCCTGGGTCGCCAACGCCGCCAGGAGGAGCTGGAGGAAGAGGAGGAGGAGGAGCTGGAGGAGGAGGAGGAGGAGGAGGAGGAGGAGGAGGAGGAAGAGTAGGAGGAGGGAGGAGGAGGAGGAGGAGGAGGAGGAGGAGGAGGAGGGGAGAGGGGGAGGGGGGACAAGAGGATCCTCCTCCCTCTTTCTCTCTCCTCCTCCTTCCTCCTCCTCCTCTCCCTCCTCCTCCTCCTCCTCCTCCTCCTCCTCCTCCTCCTCCTCCTCCTCCCTCTCCCCCCCACTGGGCAAGGAAGAAATCATGGCGGGAGGTTTTTCCACATCCCTGGCCTCTCGAGGCCCTTGCCGGGCCTTGGGGCCGTCAACAAAGGACTCAGGACGAGAAGCCGGTCCTGGGGAATTGGTCGAAACCTTTGGGGGCCGACGTTGTGAAGAAGTCATGACGTCGGGTGTGTGTGGTGCGGGCCCGCAGGGGATCCCACCAGCATTGGCTCGCGCGCTTGGATTTGGCCTCCTGCACTCCCGCGGCAGCCCGAAGCCGCGCACGCAAGGTCACGCTTGCCTGGGGGCCACTCCTGCGTTTAGCCGATGCGGGCGCGGACAGGGGGGAGTCAGGAAGAAAGCAGGCAGGGCCGCCTACCATCCGAGTCGATGCGATTCGGTTCGCCGGCTGGGGCCGCGGTCCCGATTCGATCCGATGCGGTTCGATGCGCTGGCAGCGGCTGGGGCCAGCCGGAGCCGGGCGCAGCGATCTGGTTCCGATGCGACTCGGGCCGATCCGCTTTCGATCCGATCCGTTTCCCAGCCGAGTTCGCGACTCAACCCAGCCCCGGCCTGGCAGGAGGCGTATGCGCCGATGCCGCCGCCCATCCCTCGCCGCCACCCTGGAGGGGTCTGGGGGATCGAGGCTTCGGTACCTTGCTGTCCTTCGAGAGGGACCCAGCAGCACGCAAACCACAAACGAGGGAGAGAGGAGGGAGGGAGGTGGGAGGGATGGAGGATTACCCGACGCTGCCAGGAAATGAGGCGCCGTCCCTCTCCGAGCGGAGCGGGCATCGGTAGCGCCTCGGCCCTTCCGCGAGCTGCGCGGGCCACAGGAGAATCTCGCATATCCGGGAAGAAGTTCCACCTCCTCGTCCTACATGTTCCACCTCCTCTTGCCTGCTCATACGTGATCCTGCACCCCCCTCTCCTCCTTTTATTCACCTTCTCCTCCCGCGACGTCCCTCCTCAGTACCTCCTCCTGTGAACTTATTTCTGCCTGCGCCGTTCCTGAATCACGCATGCGCTTTTCTCGTCGTGGGTCCTCCTCATAGCTCATCATCATCAATCCCTCTTCGCACCACCAGACGTGTCGTTAGGGTGTCTAGGCATCGCGCCAGAGATGTCCTGGCCATGCGTGATCGCAAAGCCAGCCATCTCCAGCAGACGCGGATGGAGGACACCTCGTACTTGAGAGAAGGTTCTCGGCTCGGAGCCGCGCACATGTCCGCACCAGTTTCCAGCAACTGCACGGATGGACGGCGGTCCTTTCAACACATTGTTCCCGCTTCAACGTCGCGCGCATTCGTCCCAAACGTTTCCAAACGCGTGACGACTGCCGACTGTCAATGTGCGGCTCTCGTCCAAGTCTTGCATCGACGCTCGGATCGCAGATGGTGTCACATCCAGCAGTTGCACCGGGTGGCCGGCTCCTTTTTCGAACGTTGTTCCAGCCGGATCTGTCTTCCGACCTCTGGGGTGTATCGTGCAGCTTGTTATTCCGAGCATCCAAGCAGTTCCTTGGGGGCCCGCCCGATACGTTTATGTGTGTGTGTGTGTGTTCTGTCGCGGGCGTGGCGCTCGCACAGATCACAGGAGCTACGGTAGGTGCGTGTCGTGTCGACCGGCGGCGACCCCGCCGCCGGCGTTCAATTTTGAACGCCGCCGGCGACCCAGGATCGATCAATGTGGAACGACTTGGACTTTTCGGAAACGGCCGATCGTTCCAGATTGAACGCTCCCCGAGGTGTCAGAAACCAACGCCGAAGTCGGCACAACACGAACCTGCCGCTGGTGGCGGGGGGGGGGGGCGAGCAGCTACTCTGCACGAGGGCATGCGAGCGAGGGCGGGCCGCTCTGCGCGCGAGAGCGAGCGCGCGCTGGTCGCTCGGCCACCGTATCCGCGCCCGCCCAGGCCGCCGAGCCTGGCGGAAGCGCCCGCGTGCCAGCGCGGCCTCTGCTTCGCGCCGGGCCGTCCCCACCGGCAATCGCCCTCGTGGCGAGGAGATTAATGGAGGATCGGAGGCGGAGGAGTCGTGTTGTGGACGGCCCCGAGGCCCGGGGCGGGCGGGTCGGCAGTTCCAGGCGAAGGCCCAGCGCGTGCTCGGGGCAGCGTCCAGGGGGTCTTCAATCGGGCAACAGCGGCCGGGCCCGCCACGAGGCCCGGCGTCGCTGACCTCCTCCTCTGATGGGGACTGGCGGGCCACCGCCGGTCGCCGCCGAGACATTCCCGGGAGGGGCCCGCTGGAGCGCGGGCTCCTGATCTTCGACGATATCGCTCGATCGGACGCGTTGGAGAGAATAGCACAAGCACTCACTGCCACACGGCGGAAGGGGCAGTTGCCGGAGATGCGCCCCCCATGGCTGCGTCGATCCCGATGCGCGCTCGGGTGGAATTGCGTCAATGGGCGGCCCGCCGAGGGCCGTGGAGTGACGCTGGCGCACTTGACAGGGGTGCGAGATGCACCGAGGGCGAGGTCGAGGAGATGCACACCTTGACCAGGGATCTCTGGATGCACCCCGTCGCCCTGGGGCTCAGCATCCACCTGCGTCGGGCACTTGCGCGAGGAGCGGCGAGGGCGCTCGGCCGTGGGGGGCCCCCGGCCCAGGCGGCCAGCTCGGCCTCCTGTGCGCAAGACGGTGCAGTGGCTCATCACCGAGGAGGTCAAGCTCAAGATCTCTGCACTGGAGTCTAGAGACTCGAGCCGAGCTCAAGATCTCGATCTAGAGACTCGAGCCGACCTCAAATCTTTGGCGGATGCTCGCTCAAGGCCGAGCTCAAGATCTATCAGGAGTCTCTATGCGCAAGACGGTGCAGTGGTCCATCCACTTCCTGAACTGGATGGCCGAGGCGTTGGACCCGCACTCCCATTCCAACAGCGACGAGGGCAGCGGGGCGCTGCCGCGGAAGCTCGGGGAGCTGCCCCCGGGGATCCCCGAGCCCGGGCATGCTGGCAAGCTGCAGTCGCGCGGCTTCGTCGAGCCGTGGGGATTTCCTGGGCGATCCGCGAAGGGCGCTGCGGCCAGTGGGGCAGTGGCTTGAGAGGGTGCCGAAGGCCTGGACCGACGAGGAGCGGTGGAAGGTCGCCAAGAAGTTGATCGGGATTGGGTTGTGCAAGCCGATGGAGCACGACGACGTCTTCGAGCATAGCGGCCAGCAGGTACTCAATGGCGCCGCTGATGTCCGCAAGCAGGGAGCGCCGCTCATGTTTGACATGACCCCTGCCGATGGCTTCATGAAGGAGACGGAGCAGGACGCGCCGACCCTTGCCCCCTCCCCCCACCGGGCTTCGACCGGCGTGGAGGAGAACGAGGATGTTTGGTGGGTGGGGGCGATTAGCTAGTTGTTTTGTTTTCTGCCATGTGGTCTGTCCCCCGGAGCTGGCGAGGATTCATGGCAGCTGGGCGCCCCATGTCGGGCAGGTTTGGGGCTGCCTCAGCAGCGCGCGTGCTTGGTTATGTGCGTTTTCCCACTGGGCGGGGCGTTGCCTGTCATGATCAGAGTGAGGGGGCCGAATGGTCATTCACTGTCACTGTCCCTGGGTGCGTGGCTGGAGTGGGATTCCTCGATGCGGATTCTTGTTGTCGTCGTTGTTTGTCTGTTTGTTGGCGTTGTTTGGCGCCGACCCCCCGCCGCGACCCAACCCGGGACCCGCCCGCGACCTGCCCCGCGACCCGCCCGCGACCGGGCCCGCGACCCGCCCGCGACCCACCCGCGATCCGCCCGCGACCCACCCTCGGCCCACCCGCGATCCACCCGCGACCCGCCCCGCGACCCACCCGCGACTCGGCCCGCGACCCGCTCACGACCCACCCTCGACCCACCCGCGACCCGCCCGCAACCCAGCCCGCGATCCGTCCGCGACCTGCTCGCGACACACCCCGCGACCCACCCGCGACCCACCCCGCGACCCACCTGGGACCCAGCCCACGACCCGCCCGCGACACACCCCGCGACCCACCCACGACCCACCCCGCGACCCACCCGGGACCCAGCCCGCGACCCGCCCGGGACCCAGCCCGCGACCCGCCGTGGAACCGCGACCGACCCGCGACCCACCTCGCGACCCACCCCGCGACCCGCCCACAATTCTTTAACGAAGAAATCGCCGCCTGCGGCGAGCTCGTTGTATAAGTTGTGAAGGTTAGGGGCCTGCGGCGGGCTTCTTCAGAGCCTCGCAGACTGCCGACGTCTCCGCCGCCCCTTCGCTCTTATCCGCAACTGCGGGGGGCTGCGTTTTCAACGCGTCCAGCGACGCTTAGGATTGCTGCCGAGTGGCGGCAGGCGTACGTCGACAATTTCGATGACATTGGGGTGGCCCCGATGGCCATAGCAGCTGCCAGCCAGGGGGCCGTGGGCAACTTCCAGCACAAGGCGAGAGAGAGCAATCTCAGGAACGGGGTGGAGTCTGCTGATGACAAGGCCAACAGCAGGCAGCCGCGAGTCACTCGCATGGGAGTCGAGGTTGACGGGCCGACAGGTCGGCTCGCCCACGTTCGGGGGCCCTTCTTGGAGCTGCTGTCCTCGGCGCTCGTCCTCTCGAGCCCATCTCGGCCACGCAATGACTGGCCCCTGGTCCTGCTCGGGCGCCGGGCGCGGGCGCTGGAGTTCAGGGGGCCGCTGTTCGGCATCTCCGGCCGCGTCTGGAAACTCCTGGCGCGCGACGAGTGGGCCATCCACGCCGAGATTATCTGAGCCGCTGCGCGCGACGGGCAAGCCCCTTGTAGCCAGCGCCGACCTCCGAGCTCGCGCGAGTGGAGCTGCGACCTGCTCGGATGCGAGCGAAAGCGCTGGACGGGGCTCGTGCGAGCGTTGACCGGAGCGCTGGGGACATGGGGCGCATCAAGTGTTTTACCCGGGCAGGCGGTCTGCCGGCGAGGGATTGGTCCAGGCGATTGGCCACCCTCAATGGCCGCGTCGAGGTGGACACGCACAGTGCCCTACTTCGTGGAGGGCGTGGCGGAGCCCCGCTGCTACTACCCAGTCGGATCTTCGACTGAATTTGTTGCGCTGCCGTCGCCCTCAGCTGTTTGGGCCGCATCATCGCGGGCTGCGCCAGCAGCGAGGTCGGCAATCATGCTGAACGCGGGTGGCTGGGCGTCGCATAGCTTGGCCACGTGGAGGACGGCACTGAGCAGGTCACTGCTGGTGTGCCGTCCAAGTACAACGACAATGTCGACTTTCCAATGTTGGCAGGGGGTCGCCCATTTCCGGACCATGGGCGACCCCCTGCGATGCGCCCGATCACGCGTCTGGTGCGCTGGCTCGCAGAGCTTGTCGCGAGCACGGTCCTCGAGGACTCCGCGAGGTCCAACGAGGCCCTCGTGGCGGTCCCCATCGAGGCTTGCCATCGAGGCTTGCCATTGCTTTCCACCGAGGACCGACGTCCTCGACCGCGTTGGCGCGAGCCCACGGGCATCCGCGCGGCGAGCGGGGGCCTTCGGCGGCGGGCCCCAGATATGCGCCCGCGCCCCCCCGCACCCGCGCCATGAATAGAACTGCGCTCTCGAAGAGCGGCGCGCCCGGCTCGCTGGCTCGACGGAACGAGGGGCCCTCTGGGGGCCCCCGCGTCGCCGCGCTTCGGCCGCTGCCGTGCCGGCTCAAAACGGCAGGCTCGGGAGCTCGTGCGGCGCGCCCGATCGCGTGGCTCGAGCGAGGCTCTGCGCTGCGCCTGGGCGCTCTGCCGGGCCCTTCGCCGGCGAGGCCCTCGCCCGGGCCGCGGAGCGCAAGGGCCTGCTGGGCGAGGGGGGCGAGTTTGCTAAGAGGGGCCGGTGCAGGAGCGGCCGGAGAGCCGCTGTCGGGTTCAAGTCGCCCAGGGCGCGGGCGAGCAGGGCGGCTCGGGCGCGCGCCTTGATATCGAGGTGCCCTTCAGATCAGGAGCCTGGCAACG